AAAGTTCAGCCCTTTGGCATATGTTTTCATCAAATTTCACGACACGACTTTTGTCTTTCGTTGTACTGTACTATTGAATACTAAACTCCATTCTCCTCTCCCCCTGAACCACGAACCCTGTGATTCAGACTCGTGAACCCGAAGCAGTAGACTGATACATAAATGCTTCGGATTCACGAGTCTGATCGGGGTTCGTGGTGAAAGAGAGACGAACGGACTTAGTTAGTTGACTGTAGAGGATAATATGGTTGTTGTGTCCGGCACTTAAGGTGGATAAATGAAGGGAGATTCACACCATAACTTATATACTGAGTCATTTTCTGTTTGCCACGGTTACTTATTTACGATATGAGGTAAAATTCGCATTGTCATGTTATTAATGATTTTGAAGTGATGTTTGATACTGTTATAATCTCTTCGGCGTTATGTTGATGTGGTTGAGTGACTAAACAAAATAATTAAACAACAATTATCAATTTATAACTTCCAAGAAAATATTATTTATTCATACTAAAGATATATAATAAAGGTTACTGTTTATTATGAATGCATGGCACACTTTACAATGAATAAAGTTTACAATGTACTATGAAAAAAATATCAGTAAGGCAGCAAGTGAGGTGAGCATCAAGCTGACAAATGTATCCAAGAGTCATTCATTTGTCTGTACTATTTGATCGTGTTGGTCGTAACTTCAAGTAAGACAAGAATTGAAATCAAGTCATAATTTCAGAATTACTCTATTTTCTCAATTCTTTATCTTACTCGTTTGTTGAGGTCAAACATTGATATAGATCTTGTGTAGCTTTGCTTAATCATGGTGACTGACTGCCCCGGAGTTGTGTTGGTGCAGTGTCTACCGGTGTTTGCTGATCATGTAATGTAATGTAATTGTAATAGTAAATCGCCATTATTTTTTCATTGTAATAACGTTTCTATTAGTGTGAGATACAGAATCATTATGTCTGTATTTTAGTGCATGTCTTTGGAGAGTCATATTATGTCTTATTGTGTCTGAAATGGTAGTGTTTCTGGTAACTCTTTGTAAATGTGAAGAGCTTTGGTGTGTGTGTGTGTGTGTGTGTGTGTGTGTGTGTGTGTGTGTGTGTGTGTGTGTGTGTGTTTCTTTGTCATGAAAACAGTTGTGTTGCTGATTATGTAAAATTCTCAGTATTTTTCCACCACAGGAGCATTTTTGTGTATGTTTGAGTCTGAGGTATTTTAATACATAGCAAGTTTGTGTACCAGTGACTTACTTGAGTACATAAACTTATAGGAAGACTCACAGTACTGATGCTGACTGTCACCCTCCTCAGCTCTCAGGACTTACTGTATAGTGAGAACTCTACACTGTTATAATTTATGTCTTTTAATAGAGCGATTCATGGTGTTTAGCATTAAGTGTGCATCTGGACCCATAGGAATTATTGATTTATATTGCTGCCATAAAACGTAAATCACATGACGCTGTTTACCTGTGTGTGTTTACTTAATAGAGTCAGGACTCTGTCACAATAAACCTGTAATCTATAATACCTTATTATATCAACAGAGCCAATCAATGTTTTATTACCTTTTACATATATCATATTCCACTGCACCTTCAATGGGCCTCAGTGCTATTTCTAATCCATTTACACAACACTCAAGTACTAACACGAGTCATTAATGAACCTGCGGTAAACAGTCACACAGACCCTTGACAGTTTTGTTGACAATATTTATTTTGCCTAAGACATCATGACAGATATTTATCATCACTACAAAAATTAAACTTTCTATAAGTTTCACTAGTTCATATCACAGTGTAGAATCATAACCAAACATTACTCAAAGTTCATACAAATCTCTCAGATTTCTATTATTTTATATCTAATGTCTTTGACACATACTAATCTGTACTTGCACCTGGTCTCGCATAAAGGCTTTGTACCGAGAAACTTATGTTTTATCAGTAAATGACATCGTGTAGCGGAGAACACTGACACGACGACACAAGCGTGGACCTTCCTGTTCCCGCGACAACAACGCAGCCGAGGCGAGGTACAGTACAGTACAGTACAGCACAGTACAGTACAGTGGGTAATTAACGCAAGGCTCAGCATTGTCATTAAGAAATTGCTTTAACTTTAATATTTTATTTAGACATGTTCATACGTTACTTAACATGGTTTAATGACACATTTTCCTGCTAAGTACAGACGCGGGAGAGCCGGGCAGGAAGTGGTCATATCGCCTCCAGTATAAGAGGCCAAAAGTTTCCCGCTCAACACATGAGTCATGTGGTGTTGACCCCACACTGAGAGGCCGTGTTTGTTAACACATAAAAGCTGTGTCAACAAGCACGCAACAAGCACTCACAACAATTACACGCCATGTTTAAAATAATATAAATAAGTTAGAAATATACAAAACTCGTGCCGCAGCGATGCATTATTGTTCTCTAATTAGGTTTACTTCCAGGAAACAGTCGACTGGTCACACACACACACACACACACACACACACACACACACACACACACACACACACACACACACACACGGCCACCGAGACAAATAATAGTGAAAATGGAAATTCAGTAAAATATGAACATCTTGCAACATACTGTATATTAATATACATTTATAAATTCATCAATACCGTAACTCATATCTAAGATAAGTTATATTATTTATAATCACTATTAAGTTATTATCAATATTGTTTCTATTATTATATTATTTTGATAGTAATGTCATATAATAGTATACCGGCTATAATAGTCTGAGGTCTACGGTAGTGACTATCGCGTCTGTTGGTAATAGTAAAGCGTAATAACTCAATGTCCAGGAAATATGTGTAAATAAACATAGCAAATATACAGTACAGGACAGCTTGAATTATCGTAAAGAAAAATTAATATGTTTAGCGTCACGTGTATAATCTCTCTCCACTTGCTTGTATGTATGTATGTATGTATGTATGTATGTATGTATGTATGTATGTATGTATGCATGCATGCATGTATGTATGTATGTATGTATGTATGTATGTATGTATATATGTATGTATGTATGTATGTATGTATGTACAGTCTGTATAAACACTGTCATGGTGGGATATAACCTAAGCTGGCAGCGGTGCATTGCTAAGCGGCAGAAGATATTTATACCATTTAAAAACTTATCTGACTAAATATTAATTCCCTCCAGGTAAAACAGTTTCGCGCGCGCGCGCGTGTGTGTGTGTGTGTGTGTGTGTGTGTGTGAAAAATATGACTAAAATGTAGGCAGGAGAACGAGTTGACAACCATGGCATCTTGCGTGTTCCTCTCTGCGCTAAAATAGTCGCTGAAAAAATTATTCCTAGATATACCGAACAGTGTTGAATGTCACAGTGCAGTATTGAGGCTAAAAGTAACCACCCACTCACCAGTACCCCATCACCCACTCACCAGTACCCCATCACCCACTCACCAGTACCCCATCACCCACTCACCAGTATCACCCACTCACCCACTCACCAGTACCCCATCACCCACTCACCAGTACCCCATCACCCACTCACCAGTCCCATCACCCACTCACCACATCACCCACTCACCAGTACCACATGCCCCATCACTCTTTCACCAGTGCCCATCACCCCTCCACCCCATCACCCACTCACCAGTCATCACTCACTCATCAGTACCCATCACTCACTCACCAGTACCCATCACTCACTCATCACCCATCACTCACTCACCAGTACCCCATCACCCACTCCACCCCATCACCCCTCCTCCATCACCAGTACCCCATCCTCACCAGTGCCCCATCGTCATCAGTACCCATCACTCACTCGCAGTACCCATCACTCACTCACCAGTGTGCCCCATCACCCTCACCAGTACCCCATCACCCACTCACCAGTGCCCATCACCCACTCACCAGCCCCATCACCCACTCACCAGTACCCCATCACTCACTCACATCACTTGCCCAGCAGTGCCCATCACTCACCAGTACCCCATCACCCACTCCCCCATCACCACCCCAGCACCAGTACCCCACTCACATCAGTCACTCACCAGTCACCTCACTCACCAGTCAACATCCTCACTCACCAGTCACTCACTCATCACCCATCACTCACTCACCAGCCCATCCCCCACTCACCAGTGCCCCATCACCACCAGTATGCCCCCATCAGTACCCCATCACCAGTACCCCATCACTCACTCACCAGTACCCCATCACCCACTCGCCAGTACCCCATCACCAGTACCCCATCACCCACTCACCAGTACCCCATCACCCACTCACCAGTACCCCATCACCCACCTAGTTACCATCCAAATTTAAAAACAAAATCCACCTGCTTATCTTCCTGTTAGGTCTGACTTCTCCTCGACGCACAACACGATCTTCATGTTTCTGCCGAACCAAAACAACTGTCTTTTTATTGACTTAAAATAAGGTTTAGTCTATCATGTTCATCCATTCTACCGGGACCTGACCTAACCTAACCTAACCATTTCACTCTTTATTATGTTTTATTGTACAACTTTGATATTACCGCCAAAAAAGTAATAACTGCCTTATGACATTATGAGTCTGGTTAGAGAAAAATGTTTTGGGAAAAGAAATTCCCTTTTTTTTCTCAGCTTAACCTGTTATCTTTTTTATCAGAACTGGTGAATCAACTGGTTTACTCTTTATCTACACTGAACAAAATAACGCCTACTCGAATTTTATCAGTTTTATTTGTACGATTATTATCTTTAATATTATTCAAACAAAGAGGTAACAAAATGATAAGAAACAAATTATTTTACTGATGAAACAACTGTTCTCAAACTGTATACGTATATCTAGTCATAGAAAATATAAAAACGTTTCCAGGAAGGTTTCCCTCAACCTTCACGAAGGTGGTAGAGTGACCGTGTGGCAGGTCCACTACAGCGCGATACAATAGGAGCAATATATAAACTAAATTAGCCCTTCACCACAGCCAGTTTTGCACCAGCATCGACCGAGCGTTCACGGCCCAGTGGTCTGCCTCCTCACTCTACTGGAAGGCACTCTGTCTCCACCGCCGTCAACTGCCGGATTGCCGCGGTGTGTTCAGGAGCATCACTGTTAGGTAAAATCACTTTTTAATGTGACAGTACAAAATTCTTTTACTAAACGCATGAATTACTTTATGACTCATACACACATAAGGCTTTTATAAATGCACATATTTAGACGTTTGTACAAATTTGTTGTTCCTCTTACAACAGATAGTGTTATAGAGGAAGGCAGAAACAGTCACCCCTTATGTGGCGGAAGATGAAGCCCTCGTGTACTATGATGGTGCTACTCCAGGTGTGGATGTCGGTCTGCCTGTGTAAGCACACGGAAGATCAAACTCCCGTGTACCAAAGTCACACAACCTTGTATTACCGGATTCTTCTGGGCCAACACTTCACTGTGTCCGGCGACCCCAGCGCCACCTACTACAACATCAAGTGGTTCAGGTGAGATAACCTAAACCTCCCCTACTACCCTAATGCCAGCCAGTTCAGACCTGGAGCTGGCGGATGCCCGCCCACTAGAGGTCTCAGCTTAAGACTGAAGAAGCCACAAGCTCAGAAAACTTTTAAGGGCAAACTTTTTTGGATAGAGGGTTGTGAACTCTGCCGGACAGTGTCGTGACGGCACCGAGTGTGAGTTTATTCCAGACCAGATTTGACCAACAATGGCGCAGGTGCAGATACAGTCTGGAACCAGTTCATGTCCAGTACTTGCCAACAGTGTGTAACAGAGACGTGACTGACTGCCCAAGCGGCCAAGGAGCCGATGAGTGGCGAAGAAAATAAAGTAAAAGCTCACTTTTATGAACTGATTTTGCAAGATTTACAGAACTGAAAGTGTCCATCTGACTTCAATGGCCACCTTGCTGCGTTGGTAACCTTAATCTAATTATGAAAATAAAGATTTCGTAAAGTATCTTTTTTGTAAGCCAAGTTTCATAATAATTATCTTCTGTGCCAACATGAGATATTCATATAGTAAATAACCGAGCAGTTTGGGATTGTGCCTCCCTCACCCCCTTGTGTGTCAGTAGTGTTTAACCTCCCAGTGAAGGAAGCAAACAACTGAGGCGTAACATAACTAAAGACTTAGAACACTGCCGAGCGAACTTTCTTAACACAATACCTAAGTGTTTAAACTGTTTTGCATTCACTGCTGGCCACTTAAATGCGACAGTGATCACTGCCATAGGTGTTGTGTTGAGGATGGCTGTGAAAATTACCAAAGACAAATATAAATGGAGAATTTGACTGACACGTATCTGTCCAGAATATAAACTATTTCACAGATAGCTGAATAACATTTGTAGAGTGACTGATCATAATACAAAATATATATGAATACCACCAGAAAGCTACAAATGACCCAACCTAACCTAACCTAACCTAATCCAACCTAATCTAACCTAACCTAATCTAAGTTAACCCGATCTAAACTAACCTTACCTAATTAAGACATAATTTCGTTATGGAATATAAACAATATATTTATTAAAGTGAAAAACAGTCGACCACGTATGAGTTAGTTTCAAGTGAATCTTAACTCAATGTAAGTTGTCTCTGTTTACCCAAACCACTATTAAGGTTTTAAGACTTAACTGAACGATCTATTTAGCGTAATGTCTTTTTCGAGAGAATATGAGTTGGAGAGTAAGAAGTCAGCCTAGAGGTTACGACATAAGTATTATGTTTGCAACGCCAAGATAAACGCCAGTTAGTGTAGTTAGTGTGAGATTAGTGGGAGTTGTTCAGCTTGGGTGATAGTGAGAGTGTGGGGGTTGGTGACTGGGTGATAGTGAGTGTGGGTGACACTGAGTGTGTGGGTGATGGTGACATTACGTGATAATGACTTGGAGGTTCAATATACATAGTAACTGTAATTTTTTTCATCTACAGGTGTGCCGTGATCTGTAACTTCAACCAGTGTCACGCGTGGGCATTGGACACCGCTCAAGACATCTGTCACGTCTACCAAAACATTGACCCTCAGGACACTCTTTCACCCGCTCCGGCCTCAGTACAAACTTTCTGCTCCCTGCCCGAGCATGAATGTTTCCCTCTTGGTAATTCTTCGAGTTCAGTTGGTAATTCTTCGAGTTCATCCGGGAGTTCTTCTAGTTCATCCGGGAGTTCTTCGAGTTTAATCAGAGAACACGACGAGCCTATCCCGCTTATCGAATAAAAACATGAGACCAATGGCTAAATAAAAACATAAAATATATAGCCATGGCATAACCAGTCCTGAAATGCTGGCTGGTTTTTCTTGCTCTATAACTGTTAACCAGACATAAATGGTAAGGTAATAGCTCACATTTACTTCATTACATTTTCTTTATTATATTCACACATATTTAAAGACTATCAATACGTAAAGCAGAAGCTTCAGTAAAAACAAAACAAACCGAGCTCTTAGTTTACAGGCGTTTATTGTAAGGCGATTTAGATGCACGGAATAGTTAACGAGGTAGCTAGTAACTACTCAAGAGAGTGATCCACTCCCAATAGACTTAGTTATGTCACGTTCCGCCAGTCTAATTTTATTTTTCCTTTTATTGAGTAGAAATTCATAAAGTACAGTTTATGCATAAATACATAAACACTTATGGAGGATAATACAAGGAATATTAGTAATACTTATTTCTATATATGGCTCTTGTGACTAAATTCAAAATGACTGTAGATGTGTGTAAAATTAGTAGTTACAAATAAGTTAAAATTTTACCTCCATTTAGTACTGTTATTTTACAAATATAAATAAGACATATACATAAATTATGTATGTTGTCTAGCTAATAAAATGTGCATGTGCATGATAACAGTATTTTCTTTGCCTAGAAATGGATATAATGGAATAGAAACACATCCTAATCTAACCGCACCAAACTAATATACTAAGGTTTCTAGTAATTCTAATATCAATTAATTATAAAGTTTTAGTTAATAATCTGCAACGCAGAATTAATTTAGCAAAAATTTACTAAAGTTCCATTATGTAAACTTTGTTATTAAAATTTCTATTACTAAGGTTAATTTCTTTAATATACTCTCTCCTGAATTAACTACATTATTATTATTATTATTATTATTATTATTATTATTATTATTGCTACCAACCGAATCTTGTGATTTTTCTCTTTTCAATCAATAATTCAGACAATTCTAAGTCACTTTCCTTCTATAACGTTTCCCTCGCAAATGCCTTATATTATTATTATTGTTATTGTTATTATTGGCTATTTAATTAAAGTGACAACCGGTTGGTCTCTTTAACACGACGGCAACTCCTTTAAATTCATTCAAAATCATTTAATCTCATTCATGAAACTGTTTATTTACGTCCGTTTTCTTTGTTGCCATAAAGGAAAATGGAATTTGTTTATGGGATGACTTCTTTAATATTTTATTCTGCTTGCAGGCTTTAGTATTTATTTATTTATTCTTTTAAGTTAGTGTACATTATTTATTTTATCATCTTCGCCACTGATCGGCCTATTAGCTGTTTGGGATGTCGGTCATGTCTCGATTAGGCGCTGTTGGCACTATGGGCTTGAACTGGCTCTCTGTTACGCACTGTTGGTAAGCATGGGGGAGGGGTCTGCAAGATTTTTTCCAGAGAGGGAAGTGCAAGAAAGCAAGACAAGACCTGACATATCCGTTTATGATCAAGTATAATTAAGTTACTTTCGAGTACTGTATGATCAGCAATATAACTTATCAGTATTATCGCTAAAATTGTCATAACGTTGACCTTTAGCATTAAAACTAACGGAAATAATTAATTTAATATCGTTAATCCTGATAATCTAGGGATGACCAATGTTAGCTGTCTGTCACGCTGGTGAGTTGCTCATAACATTAGCAGCGTACTTTCAATGGTTAAATATATATACTATATGCCACGTTTATCAGCTCCAAAACGACTAACCACGTCTTCAATAAAGGCTTTCTTCATATCTAACACCTTCTGGCGATGCACGCTGATCATGCACAATACAGACAAGCATTCAGTTGACATTGTTGATTGAAGCCACTTCTTGACACGTCTCAGCGTGCTAAATGACCGCTCTACTTTACAGGTGGAGGCTTCTCGAATAGCAGGAAACAAATCACACTGCTTCAGAAGATCCATCAAGGGCAAGGTTGCACCGGAATTAGATCCGGTTTTCTTCTGGGAATATTGACGCTGTGTCCACATTTCAAACCAGGACTGCGACTCCTCGGCAAAATTATCGATGTTGTTGATATCACTTAACTGTGCCATTTTTCGTATATTCAGCAACCACTGGATCTGTTCTGACAGTTCCACCACAGCTTGGTTTTGTAAGTGGCACGCTCAGGATACATGAACTCATTGTGGCAGATTTGTGAAGCACGTTTATAACTCAATAACGTCCATGACAGTAGACGTAAATAAAAAAAAAAGTTATCCTCAACGGTACCGAGGTCTGAACTTTTCACTATATTTGTTTTGCTTTTATATTCACTTATGGATAATAGTATTAACTATCGCTGACAACACTGTTTTACGATTACCAATGTTTCCATTTTCCCGAAGATCAGTGACCACCACCAGCTGTTGAAGGCTAATAATTAACATCTCTCGGATCATCAACACGGGACAATAAAGGCTTTCGTATCTGAGTCACACGTTTACAAAACTTGTTGGAACATGTCAACTTTAAGAGTGATGTCTACAGTTTGAGACTCACGATAAATAAACCGATCTGGCGTGTTTAGGTACAATTTGGTACAGTTCTGGTACCGCCTTGGTATGATTTGGGCGAAGCTTTGATGTAATGATGATATAATTTTAGTACAATTATGATATTATGGGACAATGTTGGTATCATGCTTGTTCTCCGTTGGTACAGTTTTATGAAGAATTTGGTACAGTTTTATAGCAACCATTTCAGCACCATACAATAACCAGGTCTACACTACCACCACAACCACTACACACCACCACAACTACTACACACCACCACAACCACTACACACCACCACAACCACTACACACCACCACAACCACTACTACACACCACCACAACTACTACACAACCACTACACACCACCCACAACCACTACACACCACCACAACCACTACACACCACCACAACCACTACACACCACCACAACCACTACACACCACCACAACCACTACACCACCACAACCTACACACCACAGCTACTACACCACCACAACCACTACACACCACCACAACCACTACACACACCACCACAACCACTACACACCACCACAACCACTACACACCACACAACCACTACACACCACCACAACCACTACACACACCACACACCACCACAACCACTACACACCACCACAACCACTACACACCACCACAACCACTACACACCACCACAACCACTACACACCACCACAACCACTACACACCACCACAACCACTACACACCACCACAACCACTACACACCAACTACATTTTAATAATAACTCGAGTGTTCCTTCACGTCACCATAAGATGATTTGACCCAACCATACATCGTCTCAACTGAAGTGTGCAGTACTTCCAGTTCAGCACCAGTCAACTACACAGTCTGGTTTAGATAGTCTAAAATCCTACTCTGAAATATAATATGTGTTTTCTTGGCTTTGTTGGTGAGACATCTTTCGATTTCGTTTTATTAATTTTTTTTTATACAATGTGAACCTCTATTTAACGAACTACATGAAGAGGAAAGTATGTTATATTAAGGGTTATGTGGAGAGAGAAGTTCGTTATATAGGGGTTTTACTGTAGAACGAAATTTAGTAGAGTTAAACCCTTATATTGTGTATTAAACCGTTGTACATTTCTTGGTAATTATCATCTTAGAGGCCAACCGTTTTAGTTCTTCACATAATAACTTTGAGTCATTTTGAATGTATTTTATTTGTTGATCTCGGCCTAAAATTACATAAAATACATTCAACTTGACCTAAAAAGTGTTGGTGTTATATTATCTATCTTCCAGTCCCCCGCTACTGTATATCTAGGATGACCGTAAGACACCCGAGTGCTAAGATTACCAAGATTTATTGTTGTAATAGTTTTATTGCTCCAAATTGTCTCGAAATTGCACCATTAGACCACATAATACACGGAGCTTGCATGAGTTGCACTACACAGCTCCAAGTCTCGCGAGGACCTACCGGTAAGTTCTGTTAGACTATACGTCATTACAGCCCAGTACGTCGATGTGATTGGTCAGTTAGATCAACTCTGGTAACCAATCGCAGTTAGCCTCTTCTATTACGTCACTATTCAACCAATCAGATGGAAGTATTCGCCGGCGGTGTTGTGTAATATGGATATAATAATTATGTCTATTGGCCAGACCTCTCGGTGCTAAGTAATTAAAACAAACTGAATCAGAATCGTAACTTGAACAAGTCATTCGTAAGGGAATGCGTATGTTATGAGCTCAGGTTTCAAAGATGAGCCTAACTCGTCATCAGGGTTCAATTCAACAAACGAACCCAGTTGGAGGGTTCAAATAGCTACGGTACTAAGTCTTAGCCGTAACTAACACCACTTTCTCTTACGTCCCAGTTAGAAGTAAATATTCAACACACGAAACCTTGAGAATCCGGCCGGTGAAATATGTTCATGGTTGAGGCAGTGTTGGTGTCTGAAACCCTGTATTTGGGGATATTTACAGTATTTCGCCTCTGTGAATATATATCAAAATGGCGTCCCGCGGCTTTGATTCATTACAAGAGGTGGCGACTGGTGCCTCAGGTCAGCCACGGGAAGGGGTGGGGACTATTATCTTCAAATAGTGTAAACAATGACTACTACTACTACTACTACTACTACTACTACTACTACAACAACTACTACAAATGCTACACCGGATGATCCTTTATTCATAACTGTAGCCTTGACCTTTGACCCTAGATATATATAGAAGTTATAGACGTTGTTATAGGGAAGATATATAGCAAGTATACGCTACAGCTCTCTCCGTTGTTGAGCTGTGAGTGTGAGCATTCTTAGGGCAGATGACACGGACTGCAGACTATACTAACCGCTTAAACTCACGCATCTCCGGGCTACCGTGAGTAACTCTTGGCTATCTTAAAAGAGTAAATGTATATATATACACCTTGTTTTGTACTTCTCCTTAGTCTGTACTCACCTCTGAAGATGTGAATTACACGAAAGCGCTTGGAAACTTCGTGTTTTCTTCTTGCCTTGTGGTTATCAGCATATACCTGGATCACGCGCACCTACAGTGATTTACTTGCATGTATGTATGTATGTATGTATGTATGTATGTATGTATGTATGTATGTATGTATGTAGTGGAGTCAAGAGCAGGCAGTGTACTTTCCCCTCCCGGCTGAGGATTTCGCCACTAGTGAGTATAAAGCAATATTCGTGACGTGTGTGTGTGTGTGTGTGTGTGTGTGTGTGTGTGTGTGTGTGTTTAGAAGTATTAAGCGCGAAAAATAAAAAGATAATACAAATGCAATAAGGCTGATAAACTTTGGACACAGGTAAGAAACGAAGACTAATTAATGGCAGGAAACAAGAGGGAGAGGAGGAGGAGGAGGAGGAGGAGGAGGATATAAGAAGAGGGAGGAAGGAAGAGGGAGGAAGGAAGTTGCAGCACGGGAGGATGTGAGAGCAGCAGGAGCAGGAAATAAA